TTTGCTTTCGCTGTTACGAGTAACAGTCCTGGGCACAACTATACGCTGAGCCCTATGAGTCCTCCCAGTGAATCACCAAAACCGGGGTAGTCTTGGTGACTCCCAACTCAAATGGCAAACTGTTCTACAACCAGGAGCACAAAGGTGCAGTGTCACTTCAGCTACAACTATCTCTGTTCAATGTTTTCTCGTTTTCACATTCATTCCCTCATATCCACAAGCAATTTAAATTTCTCATGCCAAAAGCAGAAGAAGTAACATAGAAGAATATTGCAAATCACTGGAAATATGGCTTAGTTTGGAAGTTCATGGTCTTTTAAAAAAGAACTAGAAGTGGTTAAAAATGCTGCAAATATAATTAGCTAAGTTTCAGTTAACCAACAGGTATGAAACGTGACTTTTTTGGGGGTTAATCGATAATGTGCAGATTGAAAACGATTGTAAGATGGTTACATATATAGAAAGTAAAAGTCGCTTAGTCGTGTCTGACTCTTTGCAACTAGTCCATGGCATTCTCCAGGCCAGAATACTGTAGTGGGTAGCCTTTCCCTTCTCCAGGGGATCTTCCCAACCCAGGGATCAAACCCAGGTCCCCTGCACTGCAGGCAGATTCTTTACCAGCTGAGCCACAAGGGAAGTCCAAGAATACTGGAGTGGGTAGCCTATCCCTTCTCCAGGGGATCTTCCCTACCCAGGAATCGAACCAGGGTTTCCTGTATTGTAGGTGGATTCTTTACCACCTGAGCATATGTAGGTTGCATATATAGAATGTTAATTGAAGTTATTAAGTCTGATGATAACAGAATTAAACAGAAATTCATTTTAGCAATCCTTATTTAAAATCTGCCTAAAATAAATACCTCCCCATCCAAATTAATTCATTACATTAATTCTTTTGTGTGCTAGGTCATAAGGATACAGTAAAACAAGAGAGATGACACCTGTCTAACGAATGTTATAATATACTAAAAAGTCAAACAATAAACAAAAAATAATTATATATTATAGTAAGTATCAGTGAGGAAACAAACTGAAGGATGAAACAGAGGGTAGGTAGCTGGGAGACGTGACTTCTGATAGGATCAAGAAACATTTACTAAGTAGGGACTTCCCTGGTGGGTCATTTAGTAAAGAATCTCCCTCCAATGCAGGAGACCATGTATTACCAATCACCTACTGACAAAAATGGATGAATGAATGAACCAACCAAGTTAAGTTTTATAATGGTCAGAGCAGGAAACTCTGCTATAAATAACTCAAAATCAACATCAGGAAAATAATTCTGGAAGAGTAATATTTTAGACTATCATCACTTGATGAAGATGAACCAAATATTCAAAGATCTAAAAATTACAGTATCACTCTCCCATCTCAAAACCTCAATTTTTGCCACTCATCTGCCCTCTTACCAAGAGCTGCTAAGTCCCTTCTGAGTTCAACTCTGCATTATCTCTTCCATTCTTCTCCTTCCTTACCATTCTTCTAGTTTTTCAAGCCCTCCTTACTTTCAGAAGACTCTTAGCTGGACTCAACATTCACTCTCTTGCCTCTTCAAATTCATTCACTCATTCTACAAAATTTATGGAACACCTATTAATCAGGCATTCTCCTAATTACCGAGGCTAAAAAGAAACAGTATGTAGGATTTTCCCTTAAGGTGCTTACAGTTGGGATTATCATCAATTTTTATTGAACTTCATTTCATATATTAAAAAGCAGATGCTCAAATAATCATATTTTGGGGTTAGGTGTCTAATTCCAAAATCTATACTTTTCCCATTAAAAGCAGGAAATTATAACTTACTACACTAAGTTCTAAGCTAAAATTAATACACAAAGAACTATGAAGCACTTAAAAGCAGCACTAACTACTGGAGACTCTGAGTAGGCTTTGCAGGAGAAACTTATGGGCTAAATTTTAAAGAGGAAGTAGAAGTCTGGGGAAGTGATGCTGAAGGTAAACATAACTGTTACAGGAAAAGAGAATAGCTTGATCACAGGTACAACCGGGAAAGCAAGGTACCATTCTAGTAAAAATGGACTTCCCAGATGGCACTAGTGGTAAAAAACCTGCCTGCCAATGCGGAGACATAACAAACTCTGGTTTGATCCATGGGTTGAGAAGGTCCCCCATGGCTATCCACTCCAGTATTCTTACCTGGAGAATCCCATGGACAGAGGAGCCTGGCAGGTTACAGTCCATAGGATTGCAAAGAGTCAGACAAATTGAAGCAACTTAGCACATTATAGTAGGAAAAGGGTAAGTAATGATACAGACAGTCTCTTGGACTGCAAGATCAAATCAGTCCATACTAAATGAAATCAGTCCTGAATATTCATTGGAAGGACTGATGCTGAAACTGAAGCTCTAATACTATGGCCACCTGATGCGAAGAACTGACTCATCTGAAAAGACCCTGATGCTGGGAAAGATTGAAGGCAGGAGAAGGGGACGACAGAGGATGAGATGGTTGGATGGCATCAAGGACTCGATGGGCATGAGTTTGAGCAAGCTCCGGGAGTTGGTGATAGACAGGGAAGCCTGGCATGCTGCAATTCATGGGGTCGCAAAGAGCTGGACACAACTGAGCAACTGAACAGAACTGAACTGAATATACAGAGATGGAGCAAAGTTTGCAAGGTTGGGAATACAAGAGAGAAACAAAACTTGATGCTGAAGATTATAGGAAGCTACAAAGGATTTCAGGAACAGCAGTGACTTTTTCAAATATGTTTTAGAAAGATTTCTAAGACAACCCACCAGAAAAATGGGCAAAGAACATAAAAGGGCAATTCAAGAGAATCAGTTCAGTTCAACTCAGAGAACGAGAAATACAAAAGGCCCTTAACCATATGAAAAGACACTTGAGTTCAGTTCAAGTGTACTGAGTGGAGTTCAAGATTTTGCACACTCATTCCAAGTATCACACCACTGGAGATGCAAAACAGAATTGAGCAACCCTTCACATAACCATCAGTTAAAAGATGAAAATCACCTGGTGGTGGGCTCAGTAACTTCCTGAGTGGAGTCAGGATAACAATGCAGGAGTGATTACAATAATCATTTTTCAATGTTTTCTGATAACAGAGTAAAATGAAAATGAAGAAATACATTACAGAGAAGAAGCAAGGAAATTAAATATGTGATAAGCTCGGGTATTCTTTCACGTGGGCTTCCTGGTGGCTCAGACAGTAAAGGATCTGCCTGGAATGCGGGAGACCTGGGTTCAATCTCTGGGTCAGGAAGATCCCCTGGAGGAGGGCGTAGCAACCCACTCCAGTTTCTTGCCTGGAGAATCCCCAGGGACAGAGGAGCCTGGTGGGCTACAGTCCAGGGGGTCACAAAGAGGCAGACTGAGTAAGCACACTCTTTCACATATACTAAGTGCAAAAGAAAACCTTCAACTACAGCTGTTTCTAAAATGCAACAGAAATTTCACAACACTTCCATAATAATTATATTCCAGATTTGGTGTGCCCAGAAAGTACACACTTAAGTGTCCTATTCATGTCTGTCATATAAATTAATTTACTGAGGCAACAGGTATCTTTCAATTCAAACAAGGTTCCCGAGCTAAGAAAGGAAATCTGGACTGAGAAAGGCAAACTGGAGTCTCCAGATTTGGGAAAAATCTCAAGGTCACTATTGTTTTAGGGCTTACTCCCACCTGCTTTGGGTCATTACCCCACTCTTTCCAAACATGGAGTCAAGCAGAACCTGGCCAGGCCCCAATTCCAGTCCAGACTCTGCCACTTACTGGGCTGTCTTGGAAAGTCATGTGGACCCTCTGAACCTCAGTTTCCTCCACTGTAAAACGGGAATTACATGTATTTGTGAAGATTAAACAAAAAGAAGGGTGCCAGGAATTTGGGAAAAGTTCAATTATCGCAGTCATTTCCATAATAATCCTGCGAAGATTCCTTGGATTCAAACGGTTGTTCGAGCTTGGAACCAAGGACTTCCTCCTGATCTGGTTCCCACTGCGTCATCTGAGGTGAGAAGGGGAAGGGGATGGAGAGGAGAGCAACCACGGCCAAGGGCAAGAGGAGGAACCCACAGGGCAGAGGAGCAGGGGCGAAGGAGAGCAGAGTCCAGGGTGAACTCTCCGACAGAGGGTGCAGGGCGGGGGTCTGGCCTGGGTGGGGTCTGAGGGCCGGGGTCAGAAGGCGAGGGTCAAGCCGCTGGGGAGGCGGTCTGAGGGTCGGGGAGCTGGGGCGAGGGTCAGGCCCCCGAGGGTGTGGTCTAAAGGTCTTGGGGCCGGGGCAGAGGACAAGGGTCAGGGCCCCGAGGGTGTGGTCTAAAGGTCTGGGGGCCGGGCCGGGGCCGGGGACAAGGGTCAGGCCCCTGACGGTGCGGTCTAAAGGTCTTGGGGCCGGGGCAGAGGACAAGGGTCAGGGCCCCGAGGGTGCGGTCTAAAGGTCTGGGGGCCAGGGCAGCGGGCGAGGGTCAGGCCCCTGACGGTGCGGTCTGAGGGTCGGGGGACTGGGGCAGCGGGCGAGGGTCAGATCCCCGGGGGTGCGGTCTGAGGGTGACGGTCGGCCGGGGTGGACGGCGAGAGGAGGCTCCCTGCTACTTCCAACCCGCCCTGGATGGAGTCTGAGGGTCGCTTCCCACGCTATCCTGCATCCCACCCCGTCCGTGAGGTGGGTGGCGAGGGTCGAGCCTGAGTCCAGGCCTTGAGGCCTCCCTCACGTCTCCTCAGGCAAGAAGAGGCTCAGCCGACTGCGGCGGGAGAAGACATTCTAGGTCCCGAGTTACCGGAGCCGTTGGGGCCGATGATGCAGGTGAACCTCTTGAAGGGGCCTATGACCTGGCGGCCCCGCCACGACTTAAAGTTCTCCACAAGCAGCACTTCCAAACGCCCCATGGCTGCGCCCTCCGCGCCTCAGCTGCGTCCTCACACGCTGGCTGGGGAAAGCGCGGGAAGCGCCTCGTGCTGTCTCGCGAGAGGAAAGCGAGAACACCGAGGAGCGCTACGCTGTTTCTTAGCAACCGGAGTTGTTTACGTTTCCGAGGAAACCGAGACTCCATGACGCAGTGAGAGAAGGCCGATTGAAAGCCTCTTGGGCAAGCTCGCATCCTGCCAGACTCCTGCCCAGACTCCTAAGGAGCCAGCCTCGCTGGGCTTGAGTTTGTTTTGTTTTTGTTGTCTTTTCTTTTAATCTCGCATGTTTTTGAACCCTCTTAGAATTTATTAGCAATTCGCAGTCATGGAGGTAGCGCAACCCAAGGACCTGCAGGAGGACTTTGTCCTGGCCAAAAGAAGATATGCGGAGCTGGGCAGACAGAAACGGATTTTCAACGCCAGGAACAGGATCATTGGGGTGAGACCCTCCGGATCGGAAGGGAGAGGAGCCAGGAGGGAATGGCGAGGGAGGGGAGGGGTCGAAGGGGCGGGGAAACAAGAGAGGCGAGCAGCCAGCGACGAGAGGAGATGAACCACTGGAATGAAACTTTTGATCCAGGCACAGCTGCGGACGGCTCCAAGCTTTGCCGGGAAGAATTGTTCCACGTATCGAGTTTGCGGAGGATGAGGGAGACCTCATAACAGACAGAAAAATGCTCCCTGTCACTTGCCAGACAAGCAAATTGAGTCCTGCAGCGGGGAGCGAGCTTGCCTGGAGTTAGTGGCCAGAGACCGGAATGCGATTCTCCTCTCTCTGAGCCAGACTTTTTACATTGCCAGGAATTTCCTCCAGTCCATTCAACAGACAAATGCCAGTAGAGAGAGTTCTTATTATGTGGCAAGCCTGAGCCAGGCCTAGGAGATGAGGAATAAGGCGATCCTTGACTTTGTGAAATTGATAGACCAGCGGACGAGGCAGGCATTAAAATGGTCACATTATAATGCAGGGAAGTCAATGCTGTGTGTGTATGGGGGTGGGGGGTGGAGCACAGGGTGCCAGGGAGCACCAACTAGGGCTGGGAGGGGAAAACAGGGCTTCCCAGAGGAGGAGATGCTTAAGTAGTATTCTGAGGATGAGGACCTACTGACTAAGAAAGGAAGAAGGAAGCTTTGGGGAAAGTTAAAACAGGCTGAAGAACCAATAGAGGCACACAAGGGCATTTGGGTATGAGACGATTTGGTTTATAAAAAGAGAAGTAGGATTGTTATCAACTGAATAAAATTGTCTGGCTCTTATTCTCTCCCATTGTTTTCCTTTCCCAGGGAGACACCACGGCCTGGGATGCTCAGGTTTGTGACCAGAACATAAAAGCAGCAACTGAAAAAGCGAGAGAGGAAACCTTTGGTGAGCATTCTCTAAATGGCCGTTGAGTGGTTCAGGGCTGTGTGCCTTTAGACCCAGGTCACATTCCTCATGTGTGTAAAGCCTTGTCATTTTCATGCTCTTCTTCCTTTTAAAATTTCACAGTTTCTTGTGCTCAGTTAACTTAATGCATCGATTGTTCCACACTTGAAAATTAGCTATTGAATTCTATATGAGTAGGAAATATATTATGAGCAGACATGTATATTTTTCTGTTTTCTTTAAAAATTAGGTATGAAAAACCTCACACACACACATATTCTCTGCCAAAAGTTCAAGACCTTCTACCAGGGACAGCTGGTAGCAGTAGACAACACACACTCTTGAGCCCACACCCCAGAGCTGACTCAGAACCAGGCTTGGTTCAAGTAACAGTGTTCTGGCTTGTGCATCAGATTCTCAAATAGTATTCATTTCTGCCCCCATCATGTCCAACAATGTCTTTTGAAGCACCATAAGGATTTTTTGAATAGAAAAAAAGGATACAAAATTATATGTACAATGGGTTATCAATTAAGTTTAAATATATAAATGTGTATGTTTAAAATATATTAGAATATGTTTAGAAAAAGACACAAAGGAACTATACCAAAATATGAGCAGTGGTAAATTTGGAGTGATGGCATGAGTGAAGTTTACTTTCTTTTTATCAGCTCACTTCAGTCGCTCAGTTGTGTCTGGCTCTGTGACCCCCAGTCTGCAGCACACTAGGCTTCCCCGTCCTTCACCATCTCCCAGAGTTTGCTCGAACTTGTGTCCATTGAGTCAGTGATGCCATCCAACCATCTCATCCTCTGTCATCCCCCTCTCTTTTTGCTCTCAATCTTTCCCAGCATCAGTGTCTTTTCTTCTTTATAGTGTTTCATATTTTCTTTTAAAATTCTAGTGTAAAAGTAATTGAAACCTGTGATAAACCATAATGGAAAAGAATATGAAAAAGAATATATATATATGTATAACGGAATCACTTTGCTGTATAGCAGAAATTAACAGAGCATGGTAAATAAATTATACTTCAATAAAATTTTTTACAAAAGTAATTCAAACCTACAGAAATGATGTGACAGACATATATGGACCCACCACCAGACTAGATATGAACGTTTTGCCAACCTGGCTTTAGATATCTTTTTATTTATTTATTTATTTTTTTTATTAGTTGGAGGCTAATTACTTCACAATATTGTAGTGGTTTTTGTCATACATTGACATGAATCAGCCATGGATATACTGTATTCCCCATCCCGATCCCCCCTCCCACCTCCCTCTCTACCCGATCCCTCTGGGTCTTCCCAGTGCACCAGGTCCAAGCACTTGTCTCATGCATCCAACCTGGGCTCGTGATCTGTTTCACCCTAGATAATATACATATTTCGATGCTGTTCTCTTGAAACATCCCATTTAGATATCTTATACTAAGAATGATTTTTGAGAATTAAATGTTACACAGAAGTAGCTAAAGCTCTCCTCTATCTTACCATTTTCTTCTTCATCCCTCCTCAGAGGTGTGATCATTCCCATGCATGTTTCTGTACTTGTACCCTCCATGTATGTATATCCATGACAATATAAAATTTGTGTGTGTGTTTTACACTTTTACATAAAAGATGTATTGAAAGTATCCTTTTGCAACATTTAAGAAATTCAGCAACCTATTTTGGGAATTTGTAGGTGATCTCCGTACAGAATATTCATTTTAATTGCTTAATGATATTTTCTTATATGAACTTTAACCACAGTTTCTTCATTCCTCTGCTGGTGGCTGATTTAGGTTTTTTTCAGTTTTTTAAATAATTGCAAACAATGTTCATGACTCCCCTGCACTGTGTCCCAATGCTCATGTTCCTGGTGGACCCAGAAGTGGAAATGCCGGGTCATAGGATGTGCATGTTTTCAGTTTTAGGGGATGTTGGCAAATTGCTTTCCATGGTTATAGAAGTACCGAGTTACACTCTCACAAGCAGTAAATGAGAAATCTCTATGTTTCTTCATGTCCTTACTAATACCTGCTATTTTTAGCATTTTAAAATGTTTCTTCAATTCACTGGATGTTTCCCATCTTGAATGGTTGATGATCTTTTCACAAGTTTATTGATCATTCAGGTTTCTCTATAGTGATTTCCCTTTTCCCTTCCTTTGCCCCTTTTGTGCTTAGGTTGTTTGTTTTTAAGTTGATTTGTAGGTGCTTTTTTATATTCAGAATTCTAATCCTTTAATGGTTGTGTTAACCTTTGGGAGAGTTGATAACTTTTAGAATCACTAAAAATTATTTTTTGGGGTGAATTCAAATTTCTTTCTTTCCTCTGAATCTTTCGCTAATGAATATACTGTATCTCTTCTAGCTGCTGAAATGAGACAAAATGACAAGATTGCATGCATATCAGAAAACCGGGAAAGGAGAGATAGGAAAAATCTCTGTAAAGCTATCAGTGATTTCCAACAGAGCTTTCAGAGGCCAGAAACGCGCCGTGAATTTCACCTCTCTGACCCCCTAGCCCTTAAGAAAGATCGTCCAGCCCGGCAGTCAGATTATGATGCTTGGAATACAATATCAGGAATGCAGAAATTCATGGGAGAGGATTTAAACTTCCATCTGAGGAAGAAATTCCAAGAGGAACAAAACAGGGAATGGTCCCTGCAACAGCAAAAGGAATGGATGATTAGTCGGGAGAACCAAAAATGTGCAGGTAATAATAGAACCAAAAAGACAAGTGGGTCTCAATACTTTGTTTAACAAATCAACCCCAGTTTGTTTGTTTTTTCTTGTTTCACTTTTGTCTCTGAAGTCTCACTGACAGGCTACTGTAGCCACATGGCCAAAGAAAGAGACATCAGAACCTGTGTTTCAGGATTTGGACGTCTTTAGTCACACGTCCATCATGCAGGAAACACTTTCTGAGCTTGTGATCTGTCAGGGCGCCCGTGGGATCCTGGAGCCCAAGGTGACTCAGCACTGGTCTGGCCCTCCGTGTGCTCACAGCCTGCTGGGGAGACAGTGGGAAAGACATAGGTCTAGCCTATGTCAGTTCGCGTCCAGTAAGACACTTGGATCATCCCCTGAACCTGACCATCCCCCTCCATCAATGGGAGCTCTGTTCTTTCTGCTGCTCCGGCCCGAACCAAGTCATCGTGACTCCTTCCTTTCTCTCAGATGCCGCACGCATTCCCACAACAAGTCATCTCAAGTTCCAACCACCATCACAACCTCCACTACTACCACTAGACTCAAAGGCCAGCACATCCCAACTGGATCACCAAAGTCACCTCCAACTGGCCTCCCAGCTTCTGCCCTGTCTCCCTACACTCTCTTCTCAGCTCAGTAGCCAGAATGATCCTGTTAAAAGTTAAACTGCTGAGGGACTTTGCTGGTAGTCCAGTGGTTGACAATCTGACGTCCAGTGCAGGGGACACAGGTTTGATCCCTGGTAGGGAAACTAAGATCCCATGCCATGGCACAACTAAGCCTGCGTGGCAACTGCTGAGCCTGCGAGCTCTAGAGCCTGCTTTCCACAGTGAAGACCCCATGTGCCGAGGCAAATATGTATATACGTAAAGCTGCTACTTCCCTGGTGGTCTAGTGGTTTAGACTCCATCTTCCCAATGCAGGGGACATGCAGTCTTAAATCCGTGGTCGGGGAACTAAGATCCCCCATGACTCACAGCATGGCCAGAAATAAAAAATTAAGTGGTATCCTTTGTTCAAAACCAGTAGCTTCTTACCTTACTCATTAATGGTGTCTCAGTTGGTAAAGAATATACCTGCAATCTGGGAGACCCAGGTTCGATCCTTGGGTCAGGAAGATCCCCTGGAGAAGGGCATGGCACCCACTCCATTAGGGAAACTAAGATCCCATGCCATGGCACAACTAAGCCTGCGTGGCAACTGCTGAGCCTGCGAGCTCTAGAGCCTGCTTGCCACAGTGAAGACCCCATGTGCCGAGGCAAATATGTATATACATAAAGCTGCTACTTCCCTGGTGGTCCAGTGGTTTAGACTCCATCTTCCCAATGCAGGGGACATGCAGTCTTAAATCCCTGGTCGGGGAACTAAGATCCCCCATGACTCACAGCATGGCCAGAAATAAAAAATTAAGTGGTATCCTTTGTTCAAAACCAATAGCTTCTTACCTTACTCATTAATGGTGTCTCAGTTGGTAAAGAATATACCTGCAATCTGGGAGACCCAGGTTCGATCCTTGGGTCAGGAAGATCCCCTGGAGAAGGGCATGGCACCCACTCCAGTATTCTTGCCTGGAGAACTCCGTGGACAGAGGAGCCTGGCGGGCTATAGTCCATGGGGTTGCAAAGAGACACTACTGAGCGACTAACACTTACTCAATAAAAAGCAAAGTTACTTCAAGTACCGCCAGGCCGTCGCAGCCTGACCTTATCTCCTCCTACGCTGCCCCCTGAGCCCTTCTCCCTTGGTGCCACAGATGTGTGCTCAGTCGTGTCCGCAGACATCACCAGGCCACAGTGATGATTGCTGACACTGCCAGGCGCTTGTCTAAGAGCTTGGCTTGAATTAACTCATCTGCGTCTCCCATGAGCCTTCCACCGCGTCCCTCTTCTTCTGATGGGAGCATGATGGGAAGCGGACGCAGAGACAATGCTCCGCAGGGCACTCTGCACATCTGGGAAGGATGTGTGCCTGGGCAGGCACACAAGCTTTGATTGTATTTTTCTTCCTTTCAGAGGAGCTCTACTTGAAGACAAGGCTGCAGTTTGACGAGACAGCCAAGCATTTACAGAATCTGGAAACCGCCACCCGGAAGGCGGTTTGTGCAACTGTGAAAGAATTCAACAAGAACCAGGTGTGCACCCCAGGCCTGTCTGGAGGGGGAAGACACACAGCCACCTCCCGGGGGTGCCCCAGTCTTCTCAACTCATCAGTGACAGCCGTGGTTATTTATTTTTTTATTTTTTGGCCGCGCCACGTGGCTTGCAGGGTCTGAGTTCCCTGACCAGGGACTGAACCCAGATGATGGTAGTGAGAGCCCAGGAATCCTAACCACTAGGCCACTGGTGGACTCCCAGAATATATATTTTTTTAAATCTCTGCAACAATTATCTGATCTTACTAGTCACTGTGTTCAACAGCTGTGTCAGAGAGGCACCATGAGCTAAACTGATCAAGAAACAGGCTCAGAGAGAGGAACTGACTCTCTTAGAGACAGCTGAGTACTAATCTGATTTGCTTTGGCAGATTCAAACACTGGACTTCCAAATACTGCAAGTCCAGTGTTCAAATCAGACCTGTCCAATCACAAAGCACGCACTTACGTAATGTAGCGAGGCTGGCCTCCTTGTGAGCGCCTGCTGTGCGCGGGCACCCAGCAAAGTGCCCCGTCTGTCCAGTATTAAAGGGAGCTGTTTCATCCTTCTCTCGACTTGACGGAGAGATAACTGTAGCCCGGAGAGGGAAGGTGTCTCGCTGCAGGTCACACAACCAGGGCCTGTCCCTTCTACGTATCGCCTTCATGTAAGCAGGGATTTGACCAGGAATTTATTTGTCTCGGGCTGAGGTTGCTGGGCAGTAGGAGCACCTTTTAGAAATCACCGCTTCCACGAATCACGTGGTTGGCGGTTCTTTGTGGCCTGCCCTGGGTGACCAGCACCACAGGGAAGGGTACACAGCCCTGTCCTGGGGGTGGGTGAGGCCAAGCTGAGGGGAGATGGCCGCCTAATGGGGGGAGGCTGCTCCCTGCTTTGGCAAATCACTGCGAAGACCTGCCGGGATTATGCACGTGACCAACTGGTAGCGATCCTCTGAGCCCAGCCCACTCCCCCAGCATCGCCCAGGCAGCCAGGGGTCCAGGGACCTCCCCACATCCATACCTGACAAGTCTCCACCCACCTGCCCAGGAGCCCTGTTTAGCACATTCTTCATTCAAGGGCCCCTTCAAGTTTTGCCAGCCTGTGCCTCAGTCCCACCAGGCTCACTCAGACAATGTGTTGAGTCGCTCAGTCATGTCCGACTCTTTGCGACCCCGTGGACTGTAGCCCGCCAGGCTCCTCTGTCTGTGGGATTCTCCGGGCAAGAATCCTGGAGTGGGTTGCCATGCCCTCCTCCAGGGGATCTTCCCGACCCAGGAATGGAACCCCGGTCTCCTGCATGGCAGGTGGAATCTTTACTGTCTGAGGCACCAGGGAAGCCTCTTCAGAGCATCATCCTTAATATCTTCCCCTGCGCAGGCCCTGGAGTCAGCGGAAAGGAAAATTCAAGAGAGAAAACAAGAACAGGAGGACAACCTAGCAGAGATCTCCAACCTACTGCGCGGAGACCTGCTCTCGGAGAACCCGCAGCAGGCAGCCAGCTCCTTCGGGCCGCACCGCGTGGTGCCCGACCGCTGGAAGGGCATGAGCCAGGAGCAGCTGGAGGAGATCCGCCTGGTGCAGAGACAGCAAGTCCAGGAGAAGCTGGTGCCTGTCCGCTCCCCCCTTCCCCAAGCACTCAGCCCCGCAGTGTTCCCTCCACCACCATCCCCCTCCACCCGCCCCAGCCCTCAGACGTGGCTCTGCTCCCTCCCGCCTTCCTGAAACATCTAGTTACAGCCACTGTCACCCTGGGCCCCAGAAGCTGCCCTCAAGGAGTCTATGTTCCACTTGTGGGGGAGGACAAGAGTGGAGTAATCCCGCAGGTGATGGGTGCTGGGGACGAGAGGAGGCTGGGGTGGGGGGTGAGGGTGCTGGGAGTGAGGGTCCTCAAGGGACTCAGGGCCTTGAAATGAAGGTCTGAAGGCGGGGGGAGTCACCGGGGGAGAGGATTCTCTCTGCGGGGGCGGGAACTGCAAGGCCCGTGGCCTTGAGGAAGGAAGGCCAGTCTTGACCGCAGCCACAGGGTAGGGGATGGGGAGGGCTGTATTGCCTTGAGGGGCTTCTCTGGAGCCCCTGTTTGCTGGCGAAATAGGAGGGTGGTCAGCAGCTGAGGGGGACGGGTCAGGGTAGGAGTTTTGCAAGAACCAAAGTGCTAAAAGGTCATCTGGAAAGGGGAAGGGGCAAGAGGCCAGGCAGCCCCATCTCCCCTCCCTCGCCCCACCTTGAGTCCCGGTCATGAACTTGAAGTGAGCCTTGAGTAGGGCCATGCTCGCCTATTACGGAAGAGCTGGGACTCTACGATGCTCAGGGCTTGCCTGGCAAGTGGGACCATGTAGGAGGCTCGGGGTGCCCAGGTGTCTGCCAGGGGGTGTCAGCTGTGGACGCTGGGCTGAATGAGGAGGAAGATAAAGACACACGAAGTTCAAGGGGCCGTGGGGGGTGTTGAGTCCTCGGACTGGCAGTCACAGTGTGGGGGAACCCCGTGGGAATGGGGGTGTGGAGAGAGAGGGGCAGGTCCTCACTGCGGTGGACGGGACTCCAAGGTGAGACTCGGAAGGGTGGTGGTATTGGCAACGACAGGGTGAAGGCAGAGGTTCCCAGAGCAGGCTGTCTGGACTAGCCGCACCCAGGAACTGGAGAGCGATGGAGAGTCTGAAGCCCTCGCCAGGCCTACTGAACCGGAAACACTCAGCAAGTGTCCCCTCCCCGCCAGGGCTTCTGATCCCCGCTGGAGTTCGAGGACCATGGGCATCATTTGCCCCCTGGAGGGGATGGCTGAGAGATTGGAAGGGGGTCTTTGGAGAAGAGGCAGAATCACTGGGAGGCAGGGAAAGGGTCATCTCTGAGGATGTCGAAATGATGCAAAATCACAACAGGAGAGAGATTTGGAGATGTTCTCAGACCTGCAGAGGATGGGCGAGGCTCCCACGGGGTCCGCAGATGACAGCCACGCTTGGTGTGATGCTGTGGTCGGTGTGAACTTCCCAGCAGGTGGGCGCGGGGAGGGGCGGTGGCCTGGACCAGGAGATGGGGAGCAGGTCGGGCACCTCGCCTTGGGAGGGGAAACAGATGGCAGCCAGGGGGTGAGGCCGGGGAGTCAGCCCAAAGTGGGAGGAGCCTGAGGCTGGCATCAGGATGCAGGGGACATGGCCACCTTCGACAGGCCCGGCTCTGCCCTTCACAACGGTAGTTCAGCCCGACTGCCTGGCAAGCAAGTTCAGCCATCTGTCCTGAAAGCAGCATTTTTGGTCTGATTTTCAGTCTCTGTAGAAACTTAATAAGCTAGAGAAACACAAAAAGAAGAAAAAAATCCCACGTGAAATCTCACACCTAGAAGACCCCTCTCCCATCCCCCCTACATGCCTTCTGGTATCCTGTCCCTCCCTGCTCCTCTTCTATACAAAGACATAATTTGAAAAGTTGAGATCACGCTAAGAATACTCTGTCTCTTAGTGTGGGCTTCTATGTCCCCATATTGTTACCAATTCTTTTTTTTTTTTAATTAGAGCACAGCCAGGCATTTTTTTTCTAATTATTTTATTTATTTGGCTGTGTTGGGTCTTAGCTGTGGCATGCAGGGTCTTAATTACACCGTATGAACTCACTTGTGGCACGTGGGATCTTAGTTCCCCGACCGGGGATTGAACCCAGATTGCGGTCTCGGAGCCTTAGCCACCAGACCACCAGGGCAGTCCCCTGTGAGGCTCTCCTGCTGGGGGACGGGCGGTGGTGAGCCGCCGCTCCTCTCTGCAGAGGCTCCAGGAGGAAGAGCGCCAGCGAGACATGGACTGGGACCGGCGGAGGATTCAGAAGGCTCGCTCACCCTCTGGGGCACCAGGCCTGGGGAAAGGGGAGGTGAGAGCTGGTGTCGGAGCAGCCTGGCTCACCTTCCCTGAAGCTTTCCCGCCCACAGGCTCAGGACCCTTGGGGTATCTTTCGCGAGGTCCCACCCCCGCCCCCCCACTGTAGCGGCAGTGGGTGGGGCTCTGTCACAGTCACTCAATAAAGAGGAGCCGGGAAAGGGCTCAGAGCTAGGAAGCCAGAAATCAAGTGCTAGGAAGCCATCGGTCCCCACGCAGGCCACGGAGGGACGGAGACTCCCCTGTGCCCACATTCCATAGACACCCCTCCCTGGACAGTCTTCACCTGGGCGCCGGCAAAGCCCGGCGGGCCCGGACACGGGTGCCGGTGACGGAGTTCACGGAGGGCCCCGGGAGCCCCAGGGGAGGACTCCGGGTGGGCTTCTGGGAGGCGGCATGTGGCTCAGACACAGGGGACGACGGTGCCAGCTGCCCACCGCAGGGAGGGCCGGCCGGGCAGAGGGAGGGGCTCCTGAGCTGCCGAGAAGAAGCAGTCTCTTCTTCCCTGTGGACAGGCCCCAGGAGTAGTTCAGACTTCAGCTGCAGAAAATGTCAAATGCAGATCAGTAGGTGAACCCATCACTAAAAACACATTATTTATTTAACTTTTAAATCTATCTATTCTTCAAGCTCTGGCTTGAACTCAGAGGGGACCCACAGGTATTTTTTTCCAATCAAATGTCTGTGGACTGGTGGCTCCATCTTTGGGGGCCCAAAGGAGGAGAATTAAGGGATCATCTCACAGAAATCAAATGGGAGGAGCAAGCGTCTTTACAATCACGGAATTCTAAGATGTCCCCCAACTCGCACGCACAGGTCCCTAGGCTAACCAGCCAGTTCAGTTCAGTTCAGTCGCTCAGTCGTGTCTGACTCTTAGCGACCCCATGGACTGCAGCACGCCAGGCTAACCAATCAGCAGCGACGAAACGCCCCTTCTTCCCCTTGAGCGCATAGTGCTGGGATGGATTGTCTCCTGGGGATAAGACACCAATAAAAAGTAGAATATTTAGGAAGTCAGGCATTTGCTGATTTCTTTTTCTCCTTGTTTTGTTATAAGGAAAAAACATATGAAGGAACTCTGTACCAATCATGCCACTGAAGATTATTTCACACAATTTAATACAGGAAGTCGATAAGGAAAAATTCACCTTCGTTTCCTCTGAACCGTTTATGTATAAAGCGCAGTTATCTTGAAGAGTCATATCTGTTAAAAAAAAAAAAAATGCACGCTTTGGTCCAGAAGTACCGTTTGAACTGGGTTTTTCCATTGTAGACAAAGCTTGATTAAACCTCTTCCTGTATTTCTATGAGGAGGATTCCTGTCCACTCAACTCCTGTCCACTCAACTCTGCTCCGACCGGCTCCAGAGCACCTCTGGGTGCTGTGGACCCAGGGATGAAGGCCTGCAAGTTAGACTCTCGGTTCAAGTGGTGTATCACCCACACTCACAGGCATCATTTTATTTATTTATTTTAAAGAGTGTCATGTTTGTTTATTTCTTTTTCTTTTGATTTTGTTTGTTTGACTGCACCGGGTCTCAGCTGCAGCATGTGGGATCCTGTCTTTGTTGCAGCGGACAGGTGCCTTTCATTTCGGCGTGCAGGCTCTCATCTGGTTCTCTGAACAGGGCCGGAACCTGGCCCCACGTGCTGGGAGCACAGAGTCTTCACCCCTGGACCTCCCAGGAAGTCCCCACAGGAATCATTTTATCTGCTTCACATGGAATGGACTAATTGCTCCCTCACAGCAGCCGGGGGTGGGTGTTTTCATTATTCACAGTCTTCAGGTGAAGAGCCTGAGCTATAGACACATTAAGTGACTTCCCTGAGGTCACACTGACGGAAATTGGTGGACCTGGGGTCAAACTCTGAGAATCTGGCTCTCAAGCACTTCTCTCTCCTGGCTCCCACGCATGTGTGCTCCATCACTTCAGTCGTGTCTGACTCATTGTGACCCCATGGACTGTAGCCAGCAGGCTCCTCTGTCCATGGGATTCTCCAGGCCAGAATACTGGAGCGGGCTGCCATGCCCTCCTCCAGGAGATCTTCCCGACCCAGGGATGGAACCTGTGTCTCCAGCATTGCAGGAGGATCCTTTACCTACCGAGTACCCTGGGAAGCCCCCTGGGAAGCCCCCCTGGCTCCCATACGAGACCCAAAACCAGAGTGGCCAAAAAGGCAGAAGTTAATCTCCTCCTCTTGTCAGAGCCCAAGTTGAATGGTGCTGCCTCACTACCCTGCCACCTCCCATGACGTTGTCACACTGTGGCCGGCGGGAGGAGAAAGTGGGAAGGAAGAGGATATGAGAACCCACGCAGCGTACCTTCTGGGCCACGGCTCTCAGGAACTGTACGTTTCACCTCTGCTCACACCTTAGTGGTCAGATTGCAGTCATGTGACCATGCCTAGCTGCCATGGAGGTTGGGAGGCTGAGCTGGCTAACCGTGTGGCAGGCAGCAGCTCCCTAACGGTGCAAAAGATGGAAGAAGAGCTACTGGGGGACAGCTAGCTGTCTGCCAAAGGGAGTCTTGAATGGTGATTTGGAATTTGCCAGAGGGGAGGTGAAGGGAGGCGAGTTACATGGGGGAGGGTGGGTTAGGAAGAGAGTTTGGGGTCTCTAGACCCCAGGCCCAGGATCGCTGGGTCACACTCAGTTACCGCTCCTCCTCCATGTATGCTTCTTGATACACACAGGGCCAGTGACAAGGGGCAGCTGTTGTTCTATACATTTCAGTCATCTCCGACTCTGCAACCCCCATGGATTGTAGCCTGCCAGGCTCCTCTGTCCATGGGATTCTTCAGGCAAGAATACTGCAGTAGGTTGCCATTTCCTCCTCCAGGGGATCTTGCTGACCCAGTGGACTGTAGCCCGCCAGGCTCCTCTGTCCATGGGATTCTCCAGGCAAGAATACTGGAGTGGGTTGCCATGCCCTCCTCCAGGGGATCTTCCTATCCCAGGGATCGAACTCAAGTATCTGGCATCTCTTGCACTGGCAGGCGGGATCTTTTTACCACTGAGCCATCCGGAAAGCCCACTTTATGAGGACACTAGCCATATTTGATTAGGGTCCATCATAATGACTCTGCCTAAACTCATTACTGGAGAAGGAGATGGCAACCCACTGCAGTATTCTTACCTGGGAAGTCCCACGGACTGAGGAGCCTGGCAGGCTACAAGTCCATGGGGTTGAAAGAGTCAGACACGACTTAGTGACTAAACCACCATCAAACTAATTATATCTACAATGACCGTATTTCCAAATAAGGTCACGTTCTGAGGCATTAAAGGTTAGGACTCTAATGTAACTTTGAGGGAGGGACACAATTCAGCCTTTAACAGGGGGAATACAGAGGGCCCCCTGGCCCCATGGCTTCCCAGGATCATCCCATTAAGAATGTTGCTGTCCAGGCTGAACAAGCCGTGCTTCAAGGAGAACACTGGTTGAGTGACAGCCTCTGTAGATTGTTCACCTTCCTGCTTTGGGGCAGGAAGGTAGTGGGTGATGGGGGGCGATGTCAGCCCATTCAGTGCACACCGCGTGCTCCTCACGTCTTGGATGCCGTGCCAGGCCCCAGGCTAGGATCTCTTCCAGGTTAGTGGGAGGTCCAGATATGGAAGTAGGTCCTGGCCCAGAAGTGGGAGGGTGAGGGGGGGTGGGCACAGGCTAGGAGGGAGACAGCGCAAGGAGGACGCTGCAGCCATCAGTAATACTAGTTCTGTGCTTGGAATCACGCGGTAATACTAGTTCTGTGCTTGGAATCACGAGTCCAAAGTGGAGAGGCTCGTTTTGACTCTAAATTTCACATCCTTCCGGAAGGTATTCCGTAGACAAAGCTTGAAAACTGGACACTCGCTTGCTTCAAGTGTGCCCTCTGCTGGTGATCAGCAGTATGGTACATTCCCAGACGGGATGAGCCCAGTGACTGATGCGACTACGCGCGCCGGTGGTGGGCAGGTTCTTGCAAACACCCCTGCATCACTGGGTGTTGCGATTGCCGTCCTGCTGAGAGAAAAGAAGTGAGAAGTCACTCAGTTGTGTCCGACTCTTCGCGACCCCATGGACTGCCGCCTACCAGGCTCCTACGTCCATGGGATTTTCCAGTCAAGAGTACTGGAGTGGGGTGCCATTGCCTTCTCTGACACCAATGCTAGAGGTTAATAACAAGGGAACTGGGTGGATGAAGGAGGTATATAGGACCCCTCTGAACTTTTCACTCAATTTTTCTGTAAACCTACAACTGCCCTAAAAAGTAAAGTCTGATATATATAAAAAAAGAAGCCATAAGATAACTAGGAATGAAAAAAAGTCAGTTGCACATTGTTCTTTATTCTGAGTTCAAATTCTAGTGTTCAGAATAATGGAGGGAAAAACTGAGAAATGGAAGATTAGCTCCATGCTAAGAAATGTAAGGACTCTCCTTCGTAGCCTCTGTGTCACTCCTGGCCTCGCTGTATGTTCTAGTTGAGTATGTACAGAAGGAATTCATTTGCAGACTAGGGTCTTCCCAGGTGGAGATAGTGGTAAAGAAGCTGCTTGCCAGTGCAGGAGACTTAAGAGACACGGGTTTGATCCCTGGGTCGGGAAGACGCCCTGAAGGAGGAAGCAGCAGGCTGCTCCAGTATTCTCGCCTGGGAAACCCCACGAACAGAGGAGCCTGGCGGGCTACAGCCCTTGAGGCCACAAAGTGTTAGATGTGACCAAGCAACTGAGCACCGAGTATGTGACCCTAGAGCCAAATCCCTTGCTATCCTCCTATCCCTACTTTCAGATGGCCCAAAGGAGGAAATGTGCATGCAGCGTTTCCTGACTGCGTGATGATACAGACGTGAACCGTGCACCTTTATTTATTCACTGGCCACACCTTGAGTCATGTGAAATCTTAGTTCCCCGGCCAGGGATCAAACCTGCGCCCCCTGCCTTGGAAGCATGGAATCTCAACCACTGGATGGCCGGGGAAGTCCTTGCACCTTTCTTCCTGTCTCGGCCCTATTGCCCTGATCCTGCCTTGTCCTAGTATCAATTTGTGGAGCGTGCTGTAATATCAAGAATCTTTGAACAATCAAGACCCTAAACACTGCATAGCATCTTTTTTTTTCAAGCTTAGTGTCATTTTATCTTTTACCTAAACACTGTGTAGTATCTTAATGACAAATATAGATATTTAAATTTTGGGTCATTACTTTACCAATAGAACACATCCACTGATGAGGTAAAGAACCCACCTGTCAGTGCAGGACACATAAGAGATGCAGGTTCGCTCCCTGGGTCGGAAAGATCCCCTAGAGGAGGGCCTGGCAATCCACACCAGTATTCTTGCCTGGAGAATCCCATGGACAGAGGAGCCTGGCGGGCTGCAGTCCATGGGGTCGCAAAGAGTCGGACACGACTGAAGTGACTTGGCACGCACACACACACTGATGAGGTAACAGACGCAGAAGCTGCGCACGCACAGTTTGTGTGTTCAATAGTCTCTGTCTTTGCACACATCAGAAACTTATTTTACATCTCAGTGTTTTTACTAGTATCTTCCCCTGCCTGCTTCCTCTAGCCTGCCCTCCTTTAGGAAAACCTAGTAAAATTATGTTGCTATTACTTGTCACCACTCAGGGCTCAGCACTTCTGACATTGCTAAAGGGTAGATTGACCAAAGAAATAGTTTGGAGGCATATTTTTATGTCGGTACCTCCTTACCTGTTCAGACGTTATGTGTATAACTTGTCCATCAGTTTGTGCCCTCTAAAAACTGTGCTCCAGAGAGTTTTCATTGGTTCTTGCCCACACCATTGCCTGCAGAACTTGGCCCTTTCATAGCATCTGCTCTTCCAAGATTCTCATCCAGAGTCTTTAATAAGCATTTTCTACAGGAAAACATACATCCTCGGCCTAAGGGGCTGGTGTGAAATCATTTGCCGCAATTACTTTAAAACTCATGGCGAATCTTCTCGCCTCTGCTGAGTCTTTTTCTCTTGCTTTTGTCTGTTTTCCAAATATGAAAATCGCAGCTCTCGCAGCCAAGTTCACACTTGGTTCACATAGTTGAAGTGTAAAATGCTCCTCCATCATCTCTGACAGCCCAGTCACGCGTGGGCCACGTTCCTTTGGCTTTCAAATGTCCCCATTATGGGAGCTGTTCCTGCGAATCCAGCACCTACTGTGTGCCCGGGTAGGAACTCAGGGAGGTGTGTTCTGTTGATCGTCAGCTCGTCAAAACAACCGCATGGTCGCTATTCACCCTCCCTTTACAGATGAGGAAGCCAAAGTGTGGAGAAGTCACTGATTGCAGAGGTCAGGCAGCGAGCGACGGGC